ACAGATGAATGCCAATTAAGGATCTCACCTTGAAGATCTATGTTAATTCTCCCTATCTTTGTCTCAAAAGAAAAGAAAAGAGCCAGTGCCCAACAGACACCCAAGTAAAACAATGCAGATTTGGAGGCTGGAAAAATTAGAACCCTAATGATCTTTTGTAAACATTCAACACATCTAATCAGGAGCATGTTAACCCACTAACCAATATTCTCCTCCTTTCCCTCTTCCCCCCCCAAAACTATTTTTAATGAATGTTGAATCACAAAATGAAAGTGTCTTGGTAACAACTACAAAAGCATAGATATATAGGACTGGAAGGGACCTTTGACCATCCTTGGTGGACCTTGAGCTAGTCAGTTCTTAGAAAACTCCAGTGAAGGGGATTCCATAGCTTCTCAGGGAGCCTGCTATAATGTTAAACTATCATTACATTTAAAACATTTTCCCCAATATCCAATTTAAACCATTTTTTGCTACAATGTAAGCTGATGTCTTCTTGTCTTTCCCCCAAAAGATAAAGAGAACAGTTGATCCCTCTCATCAACCTTTTCTGCACAGAAAGACCCTTACCATATCTTCCCTCTCCTCAATATTGACAATCAAGAGGAAATTTCAAAGATGCTTGAATGACTGAGCTAAGTCCCATTTTCAAAAATGACTTAATGTGCTTGGGAGCTTATGCTGAAAGCCAAGTTAGAGACATTTATGCCTCTAAATCACATCGGCACTTTTGAAAATTTTACCACAAGTCAGGCAATGAAGAAATCAGATCTCTACAGTCTTGACTGCTCCAACTGGATGAAAATGTGCTTTGACTGGCATCTCTGCAACCCCGTTACCTTTGATGGGGATATATGGGTGAAAATCAGAGTAGAATTCATCTCCAGGATTTTCTGGTTTGATGTAATGTAGGAGGAAGGAAAAACAAAGTTAATCCTCTTTGTGAAGGCCAATTCAATTTCTTAGTGAAAGTTAGCTTTGAGAGCCTGAGTGCACTTTCTAGCAACATCATTTTCACATCAGTGTAGAAGACACAGTTTTCCTCTGTCAAAAAGAAGCTCAAGTCTGCTATCTTTCTTCAAGCACAGTTTAGAGTTGTTAGCAGAAAAAGGACTTAGAAAACTGTAGGGTGAACACAGCATGTCACAGGTATGAAAGTCTGGTTAAAACTGTAAGTTACAACAGAGGCAAGCAGATACCCATGAGTCCTAAGAGCTATGATGTTCAATGCACTGTAAAGGAGAACCTGGAGGATTCTTTAGAGTAGATGGTTTGTTGCTTCAGAATATTTCCTTCATTTAAAAGCATGCCTCTGATGGAAGAAGCCCTTCTTAGCCTTGACATCCTGACGCTACATATGCAGAGTGCACTCTGGGATGCCTGACTTCCATGTCACATTGGCTTGGGTTCTGCCAGTTCCTTTCCCTATGCCTGCAAGGTTAGTTGAACTTATGAAAATTCAAACTGTCTTCTGTCTGTTTCATACATCATCAGCAAACATAATCCGTAGACAAAATGAATTTGTTCTCTGTAATTTGGAGGCTACACAAATGTCTCAGCTGTGTAACACAGAGGAGAGGAAGAAAGTTTGGTAAGCAAGGTTAATTTGATATGGAGGAAAATCAGACAGAGAGAGAACATGCACAATGAAGTACTCAAGGGTGGGGAGTGTGATAGGAGAAATATGTTTGTAAATCAGAGTTGTCCTTGATACCTTTGAGTAATGGAATGAAACAAAGGCACAAATGAGTTACGAAGTATCACCCCCAATGAGTGACTATATCCCCATCCCCTGTGTTTTGTCTATACAAGATGCTTGTTAATAACAACAATGCTTAGCACTTCTCTTCTAAGAGCTTTACAAAGACTGACTGAACAATGTAATTGCGTAATTATGTCAGTACTATCCACAACTGAAAAACAGACATGAAAGGTGAGGCACAGAAGAGTTAAGTGATTTGACCAAATCCAGTACCTGAGCCAGATTCAGAATGCAGGATTTCTGGGCTTCTCAACAAACACACTAAGTCACATTTGAGACTCAATGCATCAAGACATTAACACATGTACTTACTATGTAGGATTCTTACCAGCCTTGGAGAGAAGAAACCTGGTTTAAATTTCTAAATGCTGCTCTGACTATTTATCCCAAAGCACTATATGCACTGGACAATTTTTGGCTTGTATGCACTGTATTTTACCTTGGTGCACATATCTTATTCTTATTGCTGTTCTCACACATATGGAAAGTAAATACTCACACCAAGTGAAGTGTATACCTTGTACAGGTTTTGAGACTGCTGGGTGTTGGTCCTGATGCATCAAAGCATGTAAGCATATGCTTAAAGTAGTTGTACTAGCTTCAGTGCAACTATGCAGTGTAATGAATATGTTTCTGTATCATTGGGCTGGGACCAGAATGTTCATCACATTGAAGTATCAAGCCCACTATCCCTTCCTGTTAAGAGCACATTTGCATTTAAAAAGCCCCAATTTGGTGGGACTATCAGGAAGCTCTTTCTTTGGTATAAAATGACATAAAATTCATGGATGTTGACTGAGTAAGGCACATTTTTCTTGCACCAGGTGAAGACCTGTCCAATACTTGTCATAATTAGCTACTGTAAAAACATCTCTCCCCTCCCCCTACATTTCTTCCCCCATTCTTCAGGTTAAAAAAAAAAGTCTCTGCGGTGGTAGCTCTCTCTTACAGGAAAGCCAGTTACTGGAGCTTATCTCGCTCTACAACTCAGAAATTAGCAGAATGAATTGATAGTGAACCATGAAGGAAGTTCTCAGGACACATTTCTTCTGTGGCTAAGGATTATGCAGTATTATTTTTCTGGGTTACTGGCTATTGGAACACTGAAAAGTAACAGTAATATCCAGAGGTGGAGTTACAGGCTAAGACTTCTAAACCTAAGAACATCTGGGAATGCAGAGATGGGATTCTTCCATAAATTGAAGGTGGGCAATAGCTGGAGACAAAATACTGCATGCCCCCCAACAACGGCCCAGCTAAGAGCATTCTAAAGCAAAAGAAAGGATGCAGTTGTGCTGAACTGAGGTGCCAGAACCCTGTATTTTACTTCTAGTTCTACCACTGATTCACTGAGCAAGTCATTTAACCATTATGCCTCAGTTTCCCATCCTCTATAAAAGAGCAACAATATTATTTTTCTATAGCTGTGTTCCATACTTACATTTTATTGTTTTTCCAATTGAATTATTCCCGTTCTGTTTACTGAGCAATATATCCTATCCCAGCTGCCAGACATTTCTCAGAGCCACATCTTGCTATGTGGCCCCCTCTTTCGACTTCCACCAATTCCCACTGACCATCTGGATCCCGAGAATGCAAAGAACCTGTCTTAGCCTGCCTTCACTCCTCACTCTGCTATTACATTCTGGGAAGAAAATGGCTAATGCTTTACACAAAAAAGTATCTTGATTATTACTTTATTATACAGAAAGAATTACAACAGGGCTTTTAAATTCAATGCCCATGTATTCAGAAGGCATCTCCTCTTCATGCATCCCTTTTACTTCACTATTTCCAAAATGGCAAGTCACTGGCACCACTAAATCAAGTAGCATCCTTACCTCACTTAAGTTGAGAAGCACAAAGATGGCCAGGGTGCCCAGGGCACTGTTGATGGCAGGAATTCAAGAACAATGAACAGAAAATTTTAAATACTCACTGGTCACAGGCTGCAGCTAATGCACAATATTTAACAACACAATGGCATGGCCCCTGCCAGTAATGTAAAAACAGAATGGATTAGAGCCAAAATGGCACAATCTGCCTGACTGACTCATGCCTGGCGTTCCATGCTGGAAGGGGTATTATCTACCCACAGTATGCTGTACCCTTCAGCTAGTCTCCAAATAAAATTCATTAAAGTAAAAAAAAAAAAAAAAGTGGGGGGGGAGGCAGGGAGGTGATCCCATATAACAGTTAAAAGCAGTAACACTTTGTGCAGTATAACAAAGATACTACTTGGGAAAAGCTCAGAAGCTTCTGGATTTCATTACAAACTGTGGAGTTTGATCTCGACCAGGAAAACAGATTGACTTTGCTTTGTAGTATTTCATAACCTTTTATTGCACAACTAAAAACCCATTTTTTCCTCCCGTCTATAAGCTCCTGGTTTGGGGTTTGGCTTTTCTGGTAGCTGTTTTATTTATGGACTTTTTAGCTCAGGGCATCCAACTCTTTCAGACTCTCCACCAGCTTTATTCTTTTGCTTGTTATTCAAACATTAAAATTCCAACTACTATTTGCTTTCCTAAAAATACCAGTAGACCAGACTGGTGTAGCTTCTGACATACATTTGTGGAATGATGGTGCTCTTAGACACACAGCCTCAGCTCCTTCCCTCAAAGACATCAGATGTATTATTTCAACAATTTGCTGACACAGTAGAAAACACATACACATATGTATGAACGTATGTGCACATGCACATACCCACAGAGTAATTATATACTTCTGACCCCAACCAGTGTCTTGAGGCACTTGAATCCAGTTGTCGATATCAACAGAAACTTTCTCTTCCTATTTTGTCTTACAACAAAGAAGAAAAATTTCTCATGACATCACAGAGCAGAACATACTCTATAGTTGATGCCATTGAGAATCTTTTGCTACTTTCTATTATCTCTGCATAAAAGTGCAGGCATTCTCAGTGACAGGATGACAGGAAATGTATGTTAATGGAGACAAAGCCACACACCATCCCTAATAAAATTCAAAACAAAAAGCAGAAAGAATTAGCAATCTGGAGGGATGATGGTAAAGGTCTAGTAAAACTTACCATTTTTATTTTGGGGTGGCAGGGAGGGGAATGGGTAGTTAATAAAAAGTCATTTAAATTTGGAAATGCTACCCAAGGGCACTCTGACCTTTATCCAACTCCAGTTATTGTGCTAACACTTTTGTTGTGTGTGCAGTATTCAGAGAAACACTGACAAAAGGTACCAGAAAAGCTTTTACTTACAGGAATGCAGTGCAGCTTAATCTTTTTGTTTTTAAGGTGCAGTGATTTCAGCATCTAAAATGTAACTTCAGGCAGTCTGAAAAGAAACAGGTTAAAATCTCTTTCAGTTATAATTGGTATTTCAGATTTAATTAAAAATTAAACTTTCATAATGTTTCACCATCCAAAGCAATGCATTATCAGTCAAGCGTGGCTTTTTTTTTTTTTTTTTTTTTTT